AAGTTGGTGGGACACCAGAAACCAAGAAAATCCGACATTGCAGTGCAGGGTCTTTTATAGGGAAAGGTTGGGAAACAGATCCAGAGAAGCCTCTGACCAACGCACAGACATGCTCGCCCTCCCGTGGCAGCGTCAGTGTTCAAATCCGGTCTGGGCCCGTTGTCCCTGGTGATTGGAGGCCACATGCCTAATTGTCTTGCTTTTGCGACAATTTCCTAAATACACATCATTTGTTACTAAGTAACTACTACAATGAATAAACATCTGATATCCTGATGTCCATGAGACCAAACATCACAGATTTATATAAAGGTGTAGATATTGGTTTAATATAAATATAGAACTTGCCCATTTAATCAATAATAAAAGTTATAGAAATGGTATTGTAGCTTTTTAAGAGCAAAGATGTTTCTGTATTTGGAGAAGAGTAGAGGAGAGAGGTAATCAGGAGGAGGGGTGGTTTGAAACCTCCAGGAGGAAGCGCCCCTCGGCTGCGTGTCTGTTGAGTTATGTGTTCAGTCACATATTATGGGACAGTTCCAACATTGGTCTAACAGTGATGTTGGATTCCTTTGCTTTTGGTCCCATTTTGAAGAATACAGTTCGCCACTCTTCTGTATGAAGTTGCATGTAGATTAAAGGAATAGTTCCAGAGGTGAAACGGCGGTCAGCGCAGGGCAGCAGCTCCCCTGCTGCTGGAGGAGGCTGTGTAATGTCAAACATGGCCATTCAGGGTCATTAGCAGACGCTGGTTAATCCGATCCCATCTCCTGCCTCCTCCAAGGGGCCTTAATTGTCTTGAACGTACGCACCAGGTCCTGTTTGATGTCTGGTCCGAGCAGCCAATCGTCTCGTGACTGATTTACAGCTGTGGTAAAGAAAATAATCCCTGATGACTGACATGGGGGTTTAACCTTCCGGCTGTAGCATGGAAGACACCACACCTCAGGCATATCTGAATGTAACTCTGATGTTCAGACCAGTTACATTCACTCTTGTATATGTAACAAAGTTGTGTTTTTGTGTACTTGTATTTTTTACAATCACTCATTTCACTCTTACTGAAGTATTTTTCTTTGCTATATTTAAAGTCAAAATCATTACTGGGTAAAAACAAAAGTCACATGATTAAGTTATGATGAACCGTGTGAGAGGTCTGCACCGCCTTTCTGCTGTTTCTGATGATCCCTGAAGAGACTGCAGCTCATCCAGCTCAGTGTTTATATTTCACAGTGAGAATGAACAAGCAAAGAAGGTGGATGTAGAGCAGGTTGTGGACTCACAGACTCACACGGTGACGTTCAGTGTGTGCGAAAATGACTGATGGTTGTAACTCACTGTACTGAGGAGAGCATCCACAACTACTGTGTTGCCTATGGCAACGTAGCGTTTTATTTCTGTCAGCTGCAGCTGCCGTGGAGTTTATGTTGTTTATTCATCTCCACCTTTTCTGCTGCTTTATTCTGCTGTTATTTCTATAGGAAGTAGCAGCTGTTTGATTTATGTAGCTTCATATTGCTACATGGACACCCACTGTGGTGTTGTAATTATCAGTTGTATGCACAGGCTGCAAAGTGCCTGACTGGGATTTATTGGTTGCTTTTGTGTGGGTCTCACCTGGGAACAGCGGATATGTATTGAAATAGCATTGCATATACACCTGGTAGCATAAAGATGTTCTTTAATTGAAGTGTTTTAAACATCATTATCACCATGTAATATTTGTTACTCCTCCCCTGCCTCCTTTTAAAAATGTAAGCTACATTCAATGTTCAGCTACGGGTTGATTTAGGTTGTGTGGTATGTTTGATTCATTGTTATTGTGTATAAGTGTATAACTTAAGTATTAAGTGTATTGATGTGTATGTTCAGGACACAGTGCTGAATGTCACTGATTATTCTGAGTCAATTTCTTGCTAAGCTCCGGCCTTTGCAAAGTTTTTTGATTTATGGAGGCCATGTTTTTTGACCGATCTTGCCCATTTAATAGAATTGTTTATCTCAGGCTCACAAGACTATAAATTAAATTTAGTGTCAATTGAGTCAGAATCCAAAAAGTCTATGTCACATTACTGTTTTTCACATTATACAAGTTCCAAAAATCCATCATGGTGATGTTTATTGTCAAAGAGCCTTTTTTGTAGAATTCATTGAGATGTATATTTGTGCCAAATTTCAAGTCATATAGACTCATGATGTGAGGGTTGGTCGGCCTTTCATAGTTTTTACTTCTTTGGCTGCTAATTATAGCGCCACCATCAGGCTGATTGGAATTCTTGGAATTTCTTGTGAAGGGTTAGCATTTGCACATACTTTCTAGTTATGGTGTCAAGTTTCATATCTCTACTTTGCTCCAGCTCACAACTGAGAAACAGCATAAGATGGCAGATATTGATGAAAACACCACACCAACATTCATCAATCAATATGCCAATATGCAGATTTTGGTTAATACTTGTGCCCAGAGCATGGGCACCAACACTGGTGGAGTTCTGTCCACCAGTATTTTCAGGTACACGTTTTTGGTATTTGTGGCGCCCCCTATGGGCCAGGCTAAAAATATTCCCAAACAGAGACTGAACTTATTTACCAAGATTTATGATGATTGAATGGTTAATGAATTATGGACAACTTCCTGCTAAGTCCCACCATTTACAAATCTAATTGATTGATGGTGGCCATGTTTTTTTGACGGATTTTGCGTATTTATAACAGAATTACACCAAATTTGGCATTGATAGTAAAAAAACATGAAGAAAGCCAAAGATTTCAGAAGGAATGTTTTTCAGCCTGACGTTTTGGCTTCCAAGTCGATACTATAACCACTCAAAAGGTAGAAATACAATTGCAAACTCATATCACAAAAAACATTACAGCGGATGAAGTATGTGACCACTTTTTTTTTCTATCTGTACATTTGGCCTTTCTAATGTCCTGTTGAAATATCACCATGTTCCTGCAGGACAGGAAAGTGGTCACCTCTCTGTATTTAAAATTACACAGGACAGAAATATTACCATGTGGGGAAGTAATGGCTGGTTTTAATTAACAAATTAACTGGTGCAATACTAGTGATCAACAAATCACAAATCATCAATGAGTAATTTAAGGTTGGTTATTTTGTGCCATGAAGTAGTTAAAATCATACATATTTCCCCTTTAACTTACTGGGCTTGCCGCTGCCTCAGAGGGAGACATGTAAGACTATTTCACCACTGGGGGAAATGTTGGTTTTGTGAGACGTCTCTCAACAAACACAGGGGTGGAGATGCAGAGATTCTGAGATTCAAGAGTGAGGAAAGATTTTCTGTGGCTGTTATCCAAAAAGGGTAAAGTGGTTGTCAGCCACAGACAGCATGCAAGGAATTATCTGTAGTGTTAATGGTGCATCATGACCATCGTGTTGGTTGGTCTCACTGAATAACATGTGCTTGGTGTATGGGTTTTGCATGGAATGAATTGCAGATTCCTGTTCACAAAAAAATCCTTGTAGACAACAGCTCATTGGAACCATTTGAAATCGTCAAATGTATTCTGCCACTTCTATAACCTAGTCAGTGACATAAAACTAAAGTAATTATAGACTTACATGTTTCCCCCCTCAGTGTTTAATTAAATCTATTTATTTAACAGACTAAAGGTCCAGGTAGAAAACATTGTATGCCCATGTCACCAGAACAGAGGGATACACGATACACTGAGGATGCCGATGTGAAGTTACAAAAATTGTTGGACACAGCTCCACGACTCCACACTCAGACAGGGAGTTCCATCCGACAAGCACTTCATTTGAAACATACTGAGGAACTTGGGGGTCGGTAGCAAAGCTTAAAGTGATCGTTTGAGTTATTTGACGTGAGGTTGCGGGAGGTACTTGTGAGGTGTTAAGGAAAACTAACGTACTAATGTACGCACAAGTGCACCTACGCTTAGCTCTGTCGGACTCGAACAGCTTAATCTGCAGAGTAATACATTGTGCGCTGTAGGTGCGGCAGTTCAGCATTGAGAGAATGTAGTTCCAAAGGAGAAGGCTGTTTGACGGCAGATAAAGAGGTGAAAATATTCAAAATGAAGCACACACTCCAACTGATATTAGCATTTTTTTTCTGTGGGTATTTTTTAAGTGGCTAAAACATATTTTTTTGTAGATGGCCCCCTCCAAAGCAGCTCATCACTCAGCTTCTGTGCCAGTGCTCGTCTATATTTCTCCGCTATAGATAAGTACCTCACACAACCTTGTGTCAGATAACCTGAACTCTCCCTTTAAGACCTGTTTAGTTTTCTTTTACGGTGATTCAGTTATAACTTTAAGTTGGAAGAAATACAGTAAAATGATTGGCCAATCTCTTTTCTTATTGTTCAAATATGTCATTATTTTTAGGCAAACATGTTGAAAACCCTCTGACATTCAGAGACAGATACTTCATATGCTTTTGCAGAGAACAGAAATCTCTGTTCAAATGCAATACAACTTTTGAAAGAACAAAATGTGGACACAAAGTAGTCCCCTCTGGACTAAAAAGAGCTTTGTCATAGTACTCCTGAGTGGATAAGGGCTTATGAAACTAGATGCTTTCAAGACTAAATAACCTGACAGAATGTGTTCTACATCCATGAGCACAGAAAAACCTCCATACAACCCGAGAGAGAGAGAGAGAGAGAGAGAGAGAGCAGGATAGAGGGGCTTTCTCAGCAAGAAGGCTCTTTGACTGCTCAGCCTGAGGGAAAGAAGCCATAACCGCCTCAATTGCCTTCAGGACCTCATAACAGTCGGGACAAAGAGCCAGCAAGAGGGCACTTTTCTGACGCTGTTAGGGGGGAATCATGGCCTATATATTTTCAGAGGATCACATACACAGCCACAGATGAGACCAGGGTCAAATGTGACCAAAGCTATCTCGGAGCAATTACTTGACAGATAAGACTAGATGTTACGACGAGAAAGGAGAGTGCAGAAGGAGTTAATGCGAGAGGGGGTAAATGTGGGATGAGGCACAGACCTGTTTCCTGGAGGAGAGCGCGCTCTTTGGCCGGCCCTGGCGACCCCCCTTCCCTGCTTCAGAGGGTTCCCGGCAACTCCGCCGCAGCGTGGTGGCGCTGGTGTCAGGGTGGTTGGGCAGAGGGCTGGAGAGACACAAGCAGCGTGTTAGCGCATTCATCCCACAGAGGAGTGACATGGCATTAATTGGTTGCTAGGTTTGGTTTCTTAGTTGATTGGGTTAATGTATTAGTGCTAACATGTGCTGTTGGGTTTCCTCATTAGGCTCAAAATCCAGCAAAAGGCTCAGCTGGTCGGGGCTTCTCAGTGCCAAATACAAACCTTTAGATTAAACCTGCTATTCATATTTTATGTCAGTGCTGGATGTCTTTGGACTTCACCTTTATTTGTCAGGAGATTTGTCGTCCGAACAAGCAGACATTGTTTTTCTCCCAGCATTTAATACTGTCAGGGTGAAGGACCTCCTGAAACAACCTGTTTGAAAAGCACTTCTATGACAGAAAATCAAACCACAGGCTGTCAAAAACACCTTCAACAACATCCATTATGTCTTTTTTTCCACTGTGCATACATGTTGAGGCATACACTAGTAAAGTGCGTCATCACAGCTGCATTTCTGTAAAACGATAACATACAGCAGCTCTAAAAGAGTATTAACTCTTTTTTTTGCATCTGGGGGCTGCAAGAACAAGCTGCAAAATTATTAAGACACATTATAAAGTTGTTGTGATAAAAGTGCTAGCAAACAATTGCTATTTACACATCCAGACACAGCAACATTAGCATTCATTTTGAGTTGTGTTTGTGTCCACCTAATGAATGCTAACCCGATACAAGCTCTGTTTTGTTCTCCAAATTCCCCTTAGCAATATATCTGGCTCTTTAGCTGCTAAATGCTGCACTGTGTTCATCAGGTTATAGCTACTTCTGTCTGTTCTGCTGTTTGGTCGTGGGCAGGTGGCAGGCAGAGATTTTTCACTGACAACAGCTGCCTGCTGCAGGTGGAAATGAAGCAGATCAGGGCAGTGAGTCTGAACCAGAACAGGAGACTTGTGGGAAATGAAACCTAAACAATAAGCTGAAAGATGCTACAGCTCTCTGTGGGTTCAGCACAAGTAATTCCTTTCATCATATACTTAGTCATTTGACACATTGGCAATATAAAAATACTGATCAGTGAAATTTAACAAATTAATTAACAATTACCAAAACAAACAATTATAAATGTGAGAATTAATTTAATTGAATTTAATTTAATAGTCATTAATCTTGTATCTGTGTCTGCCCGACAACCATCACAACACAATGAAATCAACTAAAATGCTGAGTTTGGAAAGGTTAGAGGACCTTTGCTGTCACAATAATCAACACATGATTAAAGGTCCATATTTTACACTTTCCCTGTCTGTTGATCCATAAGAAGATGTATTTGTGATTTTTAAGAACCAAAAACCATCTCAGTGTAGTTTTACATCTCCTCTCGCACAGAGGAAGAGTACTCCTCACGATGGATAAACTGATCTTCATCTGTAAAATGGAAGGAATTACTCTTATTAGTATATTAACTAATATATTAATCCCTCAGTATGGTTTGAAAGACCCTCTGCAGTACCTGAGGTAGAGGATTCGTGCTATCAGGCCATACAGCACGATGGCGAGGAGCAGCGGGATGACGTAGAAAATGGCGAAGTCGATGAGGTAGATGGGCAGGTAGAGCTCCCGTTTCACTTTGTATCCACACTGCACATGTCCGTCCTGGCCGACCTGAATATCACACAGTTATCACAGATAACGCGTTAATAAAACCGGCGAGTGGCGCACAGACTGGCTCTGGGCTGAGATCCACATAATCATCTATTGCATCTAAACATAATAATACTACTCTGAGAAATGGCACAGGGCTCTTAAAAAGCTCTACACATTCCCCTGCAGTTGAACCAGCATTTACACAAAAGAGGTCTTGGTAATCTCAAATGTTTCATTCCCCTGTTCATGACTCATGCACTTATTGAAACACTATGCGGCACCTGTAAAGGGTACTATTGTATTTATTGTTTTTTTTTAGCATAGCCTACAAGTGTGTTCACATAACAAATTAGCCATCTAATAAACATACATAGAAAACTTTAATCTGTACCCCTCACTCTCATTCTGTGAATTTTTACTTATCCTCTACCTTATTTTTGAATCAGTAACTGAAGATTACTGTGATCGGGCCCACATCCAGTTAAATCAGTAACACACAAACTGTTATGGAAAGCACAGTATATTTCTCTAACCTGAATGTCCACCAGGAAGAACCACAGCATGCAGTAGACACAGGTGAAGATCCAAACCCCAGCGATGATCCGTTTGGCCCTGGACACTGTGCACACTGTCTTAGCCTTCATTGGATGGCAGATCGCTATGTACCTGTAGGCGAAGAGGAAATGGAGGGTTCAAACACAAGTAACTAACCGTGGGTGTCAATATCTTTACTGTCAACAATCTATCAGTAACAACCTAAACAACTGTACATAATCTAGGTTGTTTGTCCCTACCTTCAACATACAATCCGTAATTTGTTGTCATGGTAACAATGATAAACACAGGTTGGAAGTTGTGGGATGGTCACGGTTTGGTTAGGATTAGGAAAGGGTCGTGGTTTGGGTTAAAAGTACTTCCTTTAGGTTACAGAACTTTCATTGTCATGGTTACAGTAATAAACCCACGATTAAAGATCCCATATTTGGCTGTTGTGTTGACTGTTTGCCAAACAATAAGATATATTTGCGGTTTTAAGAACCAAAAACTATCCCAATGTAGTTTTATATCTCCTCTCTCAAGCTTCTCTCTGGAGCTCGAGTAACAACAGGTCAGTGAGCCAATCAGAAGAGAGGAGGCTCTGAGCCTCTCTTCTGATTGAATATAGCAGATTTCAGGTAAACACTCAGAGAAACCAAATCCTGCAAGGTTGGATGGCGGTTCCAGGTGGGCGGGGCTTGGGGCATGGCTGAGGGCAGTGACTGTTTTGTTGTGACATCACAAAGTTACAGAAGTCCTGACGGCTGGTTTTAAGGCTCAGTTTCTGAATACAGGCTGTGTGCATTTCTCTGTGGACTGAGGCTTTGATACTTTCACAGTGTTAATATAGAACCTAGACCTGCTTTATAATCAAACAACACATGGACATCTACCTTTAGACCTTTAAGGGGACCTTTAAGGTTGTGGAACAGTTATGGGTAAAAGAACCAATGTTGACTGTCGGTTTGAAAAGGAAAACCAACCGTGAAGGCCTCCTTACATACACTTTTTTCGCTGTACATACTTAGTCACCCAACTTTCTCCTCGCTCCCGTGATAATTACCACAGTCATGCCACCTAGCAATTAAACTTAACTATGGGTTATAAAAAGCTGCTTGCTCAGACTACCTATGGGGTCGTTTTTTTTTTACAGGATGACAGTGTCATTGGTGAGGAGATACCGATTATTACTATGGTTGTACCAGTTTATTTTGTTGCATAGAAAGAAGAAAAATAGACTGATATGTGAAGATCTCCTCATAGCCTAAATATAAGTTAATAGTTTATTTACCTATTTTTTATGAATTAGAAATTATGATCAAGATATTAAATGTATTACATTGATGTTAGAAGACAGAACTGCTGCTGCAGTCATGTATGTCTGATGACTTTCCGTTCAGACTTGTGCCGTGTTGACAGTGATACAGAAATGTTATATGGTCCAACCTAGTAAGATTGCTGTTGTGATGCTTATGCGAAGGTTATTTCAGCGCTTATTTAGACATCTGCCATCAGATTTACATGAACAGGTGCCTGTCTGAAAGCAGATGTAGGATAAATATCCTTCTATCTTGAATCATAAACAGAAAGGTCAAAGATGCTCTAAGGATTTTTTATGAAACATTTTTGAACAGTGTCCAGTCACTTTAGACTTTTGGGTGAAAGACGTTTCAAAATAAAGGGAATTATGTGCAAGAATGTAAAGGCCCATATAATTCTTTCTGCTTCCACTTATAACTTCCATTATTGTCAAACATTTTCCAAGATGCATTCAAATATTTCAATTTTCTTGTCAGATTTGTCTGCCTTTCACACAGCCACTGGTTTCCATGGATTTCATACAGCGTGAAAGGTTCTGTAGTTTTACGACCTCCTGAGGCAGGCAGTTGTTTTATAATCTAGTATAGTGACTCTTCAAATCAATCTTCACTTCAAATCAATCTTCACTTTCAGCCTTACTGCCTTACAACACAGACTTTGTTGATCTGTAACAATGTCACACTCCTTCCTCCTTTGCTCCTGCAGTTTTACAGCCACTAGACGGTTTGAACTTGTGTCGTTTTATGGCATTTGCTGAATCAACTGATGCTGTTGTTCTTCCTGGGGGAACAGTCTCTGAGGTCACAGATGGGGCTGTATACAGTATACTGTCTATCCCCACTTCTAAATGTTTTTTGACCAAAAACACCGGTATAGTCCTTAAACATCAACTGTCACCAATGTTTTACAAGTGTTTCTTTAAAAAGATTTTTCCGATCAAACTAAGCTGAGATCATTGGCTTGGATCAGATGCGGTTACTGGTGCTCCCCACATTGTTAAGAGCATGAAGTTAAACTCTTGTTGTGTGTAACATGCAAATAATAACTCACAATAGTACAAGCAAGCACAAGCTGTTCTGTGAACGGTGTCAGTTGGTCGTTGCTCATCCTCACCTCTCCACAGTGAAGGCAGTGATGGAGCAGGAGGATACGTTGATGCCCAGGTACTGAAGGTAGGTGATCCCCAGGCAGCCGGCATGGCCAAAAACCCACGTGCCCGTCAGACTGTCCGACACGTTGGGCAGCCCCGCTGCCACGAGCACCGTCAGGTCGGCTATGGCCAGGCTGACGAGGTAACAGTTGGTGGGTGTCCTCATGTGGCGCGTGGTTAGGACCACGAGGACCACCATGACGTTGCCCACGATGCCCACGCCGCACACCAGCAGGACCAGGAACACTGACACGGTCTTGTACTCCAGCAACTCGGAGACGGGGACGCTGGAACTCAGAGAGATGTTGGTCGGGGTGTCGATTCTGGAGCTCACGTTGTTGGTCATATCTGCTAACGGCTGGCTTCTTTATCCTCCAAGTGTTTGTTAATGAAAGGTTCAGTTCATTTCATTAAAACTAAGTGATGCGGGGCATGACACTCAAATGTTGCCATGCTTCTTCTTCTTCATTTAGAGCATTAACTCTTATATAAATTTACTAATTTAAAAGAGTGACGAAGAAGGACATGTTGGACAAAATTATCCCAGGTCTTCCAGACACCTCTCAGGCCTCAATTCAGTCACCTAGAAATAGAAAATGAGTTCAATTAATTGAACAAATGGGAAATTGAACTCACATTAATCCTTCATGTCAGTGTCAAACACACACATTAACACATACGCAGAATTTCTCTCTGTGATGTGTTTACATGCACAGTATCCTGATTATGTTTTGTGCATGTAAACAGCTTATCCTGGTTTTCAGAAACCTGGATACACTGCCTCTGATAGAGACCAGGATACTGTGTCATGTAAACACCTTATCCAGGTTTCTGAACCATCTCAGCGGTGAGACATCGAGATACTGATATGATCACGTATACAGGCAAACGAATAACCAGGTTTTTCATGTTCTATGTAAACATCATATCCCGAATATAATCAACATCAGGATACTGATGCATATGTAAACACACTCTGTGACTCCCTCAGGTCTCTGCAGTTCTGGCAAGAATCCATTGATACACGCTGTTTGGAAGCAAAAGTGCTCATGCAAACAGATAAACAAAGGAGGGGTGGGGGGAGTGGGGGTGAAAGAACAATGCAAGCTGGTGGTTTTCGAATGGCACTGAGGCTTAGCTGCCTGTACATTTCGCACTGTAACTGCTCAAATCACTTACGGAGAAGATCAGCTGTGAGTTAATTTTTTTCTGGAAATTTTTTTTTTGTCTTGTGTACAAAGTTGACATTTTGTCTTCAGGGTGCAATCAGAGAAAAGCTCACAGAGTGTCCTAACTGTTCCACCTGTGGTGCTGAACGGACTGAAATCTTATATTTCTTAGTGTGTCAAAGTTTGGCTCGATGAGGTCGCTCAAGGAAAGGGCAGCAGACCATTCTCTGTGTCACTATATTATAGACATATTGCCATTAGATTTGAAGATACCCTGCATGACTCAAATACACTGTTCTTCTGTCATTGATCCAGTGACACTCATCTGTTGACAGCTGACTTAAGGCAATACTGCAGTTTTTAGATGAAATTTGTTTTTCACTCACGTCACATGACAGAGGGAACATCGTCTCACACTAGGACCGGACGTGATGGACCAAAGATCATGTCTCGGTAGTGGGGTGGGCTAAATGTTCAGTTTAAGTCAAAGCCACATGTAAGAATTTGTATTAAAACAGACTGTGGTCAAAATAAAGTGCAAAGACCGAGTTTCCTTCCCTGTTTTAAAATACATAGCTGCAAAACATTAATGAAAAATAATGTAAAACAGCCTATATTAAATAAAAATATGATTATGTCTAAGGATATACAGAAAGCCAATTACAGTTATTCCTCTTCTGATTAACAAAACACACAGCTGTCCAGATAATAATAAAACCATAAACAGAACTGCTCATCTGATCTGTTAGATGTGAACCATCTCCAATAACTGACCCACTGTTTTTTTTTTTTTACAAACCAGGTCTTCAGTGTTTCACACAGGTTGAGAATTTACTTCTGGTGTGTTGATGGTGTGCTGAGTGACAGAGACTTAAACAACCCTAAACGCCTCACATGCAGACTATTGGCAGATGCTACAATTTACCATTGTTCCCTAAATGCCTCATATAAAGACTACCACTAGCTAGGCGTGTGGCCTGTGTATGGAAAACAGTGGGTCTTCTTCGGAGAGATGTGAACACTGGCACGGTTTCACAGAAGAAACGGGTTATGTAACACAACTGCAAACTATATATCAATGTCAATCAATATTAATAAACGGTATTGTCTCATCCTATATCTTGCTTGAAAACATATCGATATACCTTAAAAAGTTGATATACCACTCAGCCCTGTCTCACACCACCTGGTTCTGCCCTTCACTAACTCAGCATAATTTGACTGGCACTCAAAGGCAGTGTTGTACATGAACTGATGAAATTATCACAGCTCTTGCAAGAGTTAATTCTGGTTAACTCTGAGTGACCTCTGATTAAATTCAGGTTAACTCTGGTTAACGCTTTCGAAGAGCTGTGTTTTACGGCAGCACCTGATATGCGCCCGGCGTGGCAAGTGCTGGCAATTCAGCAGCAATTCGAAGGGAATCGGGTACCACGGTCACCAGCAGTGACTCTGGATGTGTGTCAGACCCACAGCTAGCGGCCACTGGCGGGAATCCAGCTGTTTAATTAAAACAAAGCTCTGTGTAATTCTATAGCAGTGTTCAGCAAATTGGGGCGAGGCAGTGATAGGGGGTTGGGGGTGGATGGATGGAGGGGGTTCCACTGAAAAAGAATCAGAGCAGCTCATTTAAGAAAAACAGAAGAAATGAATGTGTGCTAGTTCATTTGTGTAAGTTGAACTCTGTGCCCATGTTCTTGTGAAGTGTGAACAACATATAAAAGATCCTTCCCTTTGGAAGCTGGACTCACAATCCACTCTGTGCTTCTCTTTCACCATACAACAACACTCTCCGATGCTAGAGGGACGACTGTCGCCAGAAGACTCACTGTGGGTGGCTGATGGAAAGACTCGAGTTCTTGAGAACCAACGTTGTCTACCTTGACAAGGCTGGGGGAGGATGAGTAACTAACCAAGCTAGTCTCTCATATCCCTCGTCTGAAATCGAATGCACAGTGCTTGTAGGCACTCTGTACAACTGGCAGCCCTTTAATGCTATGTTCGGTTCTCACATATCTTTGAGCTAACTGAAGCTAATATGAGGCTTCAACAGTCAGAGTTAGACAAATCAGACAAGTATCTTCTGAAGTTGGTGATTTTTGTACAAAATCCCCTTTTTGTGTAAAATCCCTCCATCGCAGCAGTGAAGCACTGTCCAGGAAAACAAAAGCAGTGTATGTTGCAAAGAAAAAAAAAAAAAAGATTGTGATGTCGGACAATACCTTATTAATCTGTCTAACTCAGACTGCTGAAGCCTCATATTAATTTTAACTGAACGACAGAAAACATTCTGTGCAGATCCACTGGAACTGCATGAGAGAGAACTCTGTTCAAGTGCATATTTGTGACAATACTAAGAATCATCCTTCACTGACCATGATTATTCATATAGCCTAGATGCTGTTCTGAGCATAAACATTGGAACGCACCAATGGGTGAAATACACTGTTCAGCTTTAAATAACACAAACATAAAAAAGCTTTATTTTTATGGGGATGTCATGAAGCCCTGTCCCCTCTTCCCCTGTAGGTCTGCAGACCTCAGACTGAGAGCCAGACCTGAAACCGTGCCTGGTGAAGCTTTAATAAGATCCACTGGGGATAGGCATTAATAAGCAATATTCAAATAAGCAAATTAGGTGCTGCCAAGTGTCCGGGTGTAACAAATAACTCCTAATACTGCACTCAAGGTGTAAACACACTGAATGAATGCATTAAGATCACTTTAACATAATATCCTCACAATAATGCACTTATGATGCCTCCTAGTGCATTTCTGGTAAAGTTACAGCCACATTCCTAAAATCCTGAATAAAGTCATTTCATCTGTCTGCTTGAAACTGCTTGAAACGATTTGGAGGTTGTTAGAGGACAAAGTGTTTCTTCAGCTACAAGGTCCTGAGGTTTGTTTTCAGGTTTCACAGTCTGCTGAAAGCTGATTAACCGGTGAGCAGGAGGCCTACTGTGAAACTCATCTCGCAGCCCGAGCACACACACACACACACACACACACACACACACGCTGGACCTCCCCTCCTGAGGGCTGCCTCTAATAAATTGAGGTGGACATAAAATGAAAAGTAATTTAGTTCTACTATTCTGTGATAAATCAAAGCGCATCCACTCTCCATTCCATTACACGTCCACCGCTCTGTGGAGCTGATCCAGCGAGCTCGGCTGGGTGAGGTGCCTCGGGAGCATCGGCTGGTCGGAGGGTTTCTTGCTGTGCTGCAGTTTTATATGCACAGGTCTATTCAACATGAGATATCAATAAAGTGGGAGAGGCAACTTATCAATTTAAGATCGAGTGTATTTCCAAACATGTCCAACTACTGAAGGAATAAATCAACATTTTGGAACATGTGCTTTTTCACTTAACAATATCCACCTACCGGCAGCTCTTGCAAAGTCATTAACACATTATCCTATTTGTTAAAATCATACAGAAACCCTTATAACCACAACCTGTCATTCATACACTTGTGTGATAAGCATATTTTTAAAGGTGCTCCTCCACAGCTGGACAGAGTCAAGGTAGCTGTTCCCCCCTGTTTCTAGTCTTTATGCTAAGCTAGCATTACCATCTCCTGGCTGTCAGTTAGAGTGGTATCAATCTGTGTTTCACTGAACTGTGGACAGGGTACGTCAAGACTACACCAGGAGCTGATCTAACTCGGTCTGGACTAAACGCTGGATCAAAGCTTTACAACACAAATGTCACATGAGGAGATGTTTGGCGGACATAAACTACAGTAAGTCTGACTTATTTGCACAATAGAGATCATTTCTAGGCATAAAGTAAAGCAATTATTAACCACCTTTCATAAATAGTTGCAAGTCACCAAACACTTTAGGGTGCTACTTCTTAAACACACAGGACATCTGGGAGAGGCTGCGAGCTGAGACTGCCTAACGTTTGCCTGCATGGCTTTTTTTCTCTGATAACAGACATTCAGGAGGTTTTTAACAGCCGCCGAATTCTCCACAGAGGTGTCCTCCTCTCCATAACAAATAGACCAGGGGATTAAAACCAGTAAAAACACTGAATAAAGCCGTTTCCTGATAAAAATCTGTGATTCTCTGAAGCTGTTCAACAGACACAGTATGTCTTGGGAGGGGCTAGGAGCTGAGCTACCACTAACGTTTGCCCGGCTTGTTTTAGATAAGATTTTTAAGATCCAGACGTCAGATAACTAAAATCCTTCATCCCGTTAAAATATATAGTTGAAAATGACCAAGGTGTATAAAATGTATCTGAGAAACATGGTTTAAAACTGGATACA